CCTCCTCTCCAAAATTCCTAAATTCTCTCAAGAAATCAACAACCATGTCTAACCCACAAGATCATCCTGGAACCCATCCACCACAGTCTCCTTCAAATTCATCCTCATCTACTCCACCTAGTGAATCTCCAAAACCTAGGTTTCCAAGGCAGAAAATGCTTGCATGAAAAACTGTAGCATCTGGGGCTCTGAGGAAGGTTTTAAACGAAAGGTTGAAAGCTAGCCAAGTGAAAGAAATCCCAGCTCAAAATTCTGATTCTAGCTCTGAGACTGAATCTTTTCAATCCGCGACTGAGGGAGATGGACATGGGTCTTCTGACTCTGAGAAGACTCAAGAATTCCCTACTGAGGTAAGTTCATCTATTATTGAAAACTTAGAAACTAGGTTTGTTCTGGTTGGACCCAGTAGGGATGTTAAGCTGGCTGAGACGAGTAAGAGTGGAGGTAAAAAGAAGTCTGAAAAGGAAAAAGAGATAGAGGGTGCATGTGGTGAAGAGAGGGGAAATGGGAAGGGAGCAGTTCTTGATATATGTGGGGTTGCACAAGAGAGGTTAGAAGTGGCATGAAATCAGGGGTAAGTGGGTTTGGGGAGGCTGCTGAGGGGTTGGTTCATCTGAGCAAAAAGATAGATGAACCTGTTTCATCTACTGAAGAGACCCTAGCTGATCTACTGAGAAAGATTGGGGCAAGTTATGACCCAAAGAAATGCAAAGCTACCACACCAAAAGCCTCAAATGCTCTCAAGCCATCCAAGAAAAGAAAAGCCTCATCCCAAACTCCTACTGGCTTTTCAGTGCCTAGGGGTATAGCTACAAGAAGCAAGGTAAAACAAAGTGAAGCTGATCTACAAAAGGCTTTAAAAGAAAGCAAGAAAAAGAAAATAGACAAAGGAAAGGGACAGATTGCAGAATCCTCAGTGGCTGTTGAGGAAATGGAACAGGTCCATCAGGAAAGGGGTACATCAGTGAAGGTTCCTACACCCACGCCTAAGAAACCAAAGACTTCCTCCACGAAGTCTTCCTCTGTGCCTGTAGCTACTGAACCCTCACTAGCCAAGAGGACAAGATCTGCAGTGGAAGCTAAACAAGCAAAAGTTTCAGATGATGAAAAGTGGAGTGGAGAAGAAGAAGAAGAAGAAGAAGAAGAAGAAGAGGAATCCGAGAAGGAACAGGACAAGTTTGTCATCTTTGGCAGGAGAAAATTTTTGAAAGGAAGATTGTTGAAGGACCTGGTAGAACTAGGGATGATGAGGTTGATTGACTCTTTAACTGCTCATTGTTGGAAGGATATGGTCCTTCAGATGGATGGGAGACTAGCCAGAAATGAACTAATTGAGTTCATGGC